CTTTATACATTTTCAATTGCCTTAACACTTCTTAATACCAGTTCTCAAAAAATTTAAAAATCTTTATTTGCCCTGCTGGACATATTAGTCAATAAAATGCATGTTCACATGCACAAACATATATTTTTTTAAAATACATACTAATGAAAACATATGAATGTAACTATTTATTTGGAGAAACTTATTATTGCATGATCCTTATCACTTACCAGAAAGCTAAACAGTAAAAGGAAATATGAATATGTAGTAGAAACTAATTTTTAACAAACTCAGCACTTAAAATAAATCATTTGATCTGACATAGTTGTATTTCTTTAAACATTTAAACCAAATGTTAAGTTAAGAGTTAATAATAAGATATCACACTCATTTTAATTTTTTATATTTTCATTATTTTTTATACTCAGCAGTTGGTGTAAATTTTATCTAAATAAAAATAATCAAGAATAGAAAAATATAAAAAAACATATAATATATAATATGCAAAATATATAATATATTTTGCATAAAATATTATTTTATTTCCGTTTCGATTTTATATCCAAATTTGGAGGAGGTTTTATCAACATTTCAGACTATTTTTGATTAAATATTTACTTGTCTGATCAATCATGCAAGGGTGAAAAATACATGCCTGCATACCTGCCAACCCGCCAGGGGAAAAAATAGGAACACGTCACGCTGTCGCGACATTAAAGTTTACTTCTTTACACTAAATGTTTGCATAATTGTAACTGTATAAGATTTAATGTAACAATTATTATTGATTATAATACATATCAACTGACAAGATTTCTGATTATCATTCTTATTCAACAAACTAATTAAACAGAAATGATAGCTGATTTTAGTAATTTAAAACATATTTAAAAACAAAATATTTTATTATTACTCAAACATATGTGACAATAAACACATGTAAAAAAATAATCAATTATTCTTGTTAAGTGCTACAATTGTAGCAGATTTGGCTGATTTTAAAAACTTTTCATCAAACACTTGTCTATAACAAGGCTGAATCATTTGGGACTTGGTAAATCAAAATTGCCTGCAAAGTAGACGCATTCATGCTACCCCAAAACTCAGTCTTATTTTTTGGAAACATCGCACAAAACAACTTTGATGCATGGTCTGCAGCAGCTAAAGGAATATTGTGTTCAAGGAGAAATCCTGTGAACAATAGCTCGCTTCTAATTGATTGTAGATCAATAGTGGACGACACAAAATCGGAAATTTTTGCTGACTTTTTCATATTTGTATATGCGGTAGCATGCTTGGCTGTTTTCCCGTGTGAAATGATATCACACTTTCCACCATGTGCTATACTAATGTCTGTATTGCAAGCAATACATAACGCGTACGATGTCCCCTTTCTTGATTTTTTGATGAAATCAAATTCTTCACTATAATTGTTGCAAAAACACTGACTTCGCCGAATTGTTGACATTTTTTCAGATTACATCGTCGAAAAGCATTCAAAGCTAAACTTAAATCGAAGAGATGCCTTCCGAGTAAACATTCAACACCGGTACGGTTGCAAGTAAAAGACAAGGAGTCAGGAAGCTAAGATTTCCTCTTGGTGTCTGTGAAGCGACCTGTAGATACGTCATCAAATATACGAATGTAGATAGAGGCAGAGCTAAGGGATAACGCGACTTGACGGACATGGATCGCTTTATAGAGTAAAAGAAAAAATTACGCTATGATGAAAAATCGGAACATTTTAACCCAAAATCGTATTATCGGAACAAGGCATAAAAATCAGAACCGTTGCGATAAAATCTATACACTTGGCAGCTATGATGCCTGTTTAAAATTTTTTACATGGCCAGGGCATTTTGGGCAATGCAATTCTCGAACATTGGTTGAAACTGACCAAAAGGTCACCAGGTGCATGTGAAATTCCAAAATATACCAGCCAGAGTTTTTGAAAGTAATAAATTTTGACACCTTTTCTATGCAAAAAAATTTTTTCGTTACCTTTGAGAATAAAAATTCTTTTGAACGTTTTAGGACAAAAAATAACTTACTTCAATACTGTTCTTTCGTTCAAGTCTTCTTGTAACAAGCTCTCTCAAAAGAAGAATGAGATCAAGATTTAACTTCTTCTCTAAATCTCCTTTAAGAGCCTGAAAATTTGAATGTTTCTCAAAAACATAATTCATTTGATCACAACCCAAATTTAAAATTAATAAAGATAATAGTTCAATACTTTGGATTCAGCTGTTAGATCTGTCTTGTTCAAAAACTCTTGATAAACTTTACTGTAGCTAGCAATATCATGGGCTCTTTCCAATGCAAATGCCCAGGTGTAAACTTTATTTTTGTCAGAAATCGGTTGTAGATGAACAGAGATTGCATATGACCACCATTTTTGAGCACTGAAAGTATTTAAGGGATAGTATTTCAATTGTTGTTGACCGAATTTAGAAAGAGTAAAAAGAGCTTTTTCAATGGGAGCACAAAAAGGCATAATTTATAACAAACATTTTGAAACTGGCAACTTATTCATACAATCAAATAATTCAATTGAGGAATATAAGAAAATAACCCAATTCAAATCTATCACACATTTTAAAAATATCATTATTTTAAAAATAGTTAGAAAACCATATCATGTTAAAGCTCCTATGTGTTTTTTCTTCCTTGTAGTACAGGATTTATATACAAATTATGAGAATTTAACAAATTAAAACAAAAAATACTTCATAACAAAATATTCACTTATTATAACAATACAAAATAGAAAAAATGAAAAAGATTTATTCACTTTTTTCTAGTTATAAAATTTGGTAAAATAAATAAACGTATTATTTTAAGTGTAATTACAACTCGCAAAGGTAGATGAACATATCATATTATCATAATGATTTATTTACCACAATAAAATTATATTACTGTAAAATAAACTTCAGATAATTCAGATAGTAAATTATCATAAAATAATT